TAACATTTAACTATTAGAATTATTACTAAGGGTAATAGTTGATGTAGATTTTTGAAAAATATCATTTATTAGGCTATGAAGTTTTCTTCTGTTCCAATGTTTCTGTTTTTGTTTTGTTTGTTTTTTTAAAAGAATAAGTGTTAATCAGATGGTAACTAGACTACTGTGATGATCATTTCACAATATATACAAATATTGAATCATTATGTTGAATACCTGAAACTAATGGCATATGTCAATTATATCTCCGTTTTCAAAAGTGTTGACTTTTATTGATTGCTTTTTATGCATTTATTGAGAAGATCATATTGTTTTTCTCCTTTAATCTGTTAATGTGGTGAGTTAAATTAATAGATTTTCTAATATTTAACTATCTTTTAATTCCTGGGACAAACCTAACTTGATTATGGTGCATCATTTTTTGCTTGCTAGTCATTCAATGTTAGATTCAGTTTCTTAACAATTTGTTTAGAGTTTTGTATTTATGCTCCTTTCTGACACTGTCCTTGCCTGATTTAGTTTTTGTTAATAAGGTTACACTAAACCTATAAGGAGTCTGAAAGTTTTCTTTCTTTTTCTTTTCTCTGAAAGAGTTAATAAGAGATGGAAACTATCTGCTCTTTGACTGTACAGTAGAATTTTGTAAAATCATCTGGACTGGTATTGTGAGTTTTTTTTAGGGGGGAGGTGTGTGGGTAGATTTTTAACTACACATTTAAATGTCTTTAGGGGGTTTACATCTCAAATTTTCTATTTGTTCTTGAGTGAGTGTTGGTAAGATATTTTTTCTAGGCTAGTGTTCATTCTGTGAAGGTTTTCAAACGTACTGTCATAGGTTTCTAGTTTATTTGCAGTATTCTATTTAAATTTACCTCTGTAATATAGATAGCATGTCCCCCTGTTACTTATCTGTGCTGATTCTATTTTCATATTAGCCTTCTCAGAAGCTTGTAAGTTTATTAGTCATTTCTTACTACTAGCTTTCGGTTTTGTTCATCTTTTCTATTGTATATGTATCTTCCATTTCATTATTTCTGCTTTCATCTTTGCTATTTCCTTCCTCCTACTTACTCTGGGATTATTCTGCTGTTCTTTTTGTATCTTCTTAAGTTAAATAGTCCCCTTAGCCATGGAAGGAGGCCGTAGGACTAACTGACCTGTCTGTTTCCAAGTCTGACACTCAGGGTTTCGGTGGCCTCCTGTCCTAGTGGAAAGGGCTCTCTTACGCCCTGCCTCTGCTCTCTGTGGAGGTAGGAAGGGAGGCTACTTCCTAGCCCGTATGTCTTGGAAGGAAAGGAGGTTGGGCGGGGTGGGAGGCAGCAGTCTGTCCAGGGCAGCTGAGAGTATGGGAACAGGAACCCGCTCTCCTGGTGGTCCCCTGCCTTCCCTGCAGCTGGTTCCCACAGTTTTTCCAGAGCCTGCCTTGAGGTTCGTTAGGGTCATGGGAGCAGGAAGCACTGAGGTGCTAGGGGCTGGTGAGTGGGGTTAGGGTGCCTGGTTCTCTAGGGAAAG